AGAAGAAGCTATCACCAAAACAAGCTAGGTGGCAAGAGTTCTTAGTCGAGTTCGACTACACGTTGGAATACAAGCCGGGCAAAGCCAACGTTGTAGTCGATGGCTTAAGTCGAAAGACAGAGCTCGCCGCGATCTCTCTAGCCAAGGGAACCGTGTTGGAGCGCATCAAGGAGGGCCTTGAGCAAGATCCAATGGCAAGAGAATTAGTAAAGCTGGCTAGCGATGGCAAAACCCAACAGTTTTGGGTAGAGGACGGTCTACTCTACAACAAGGGACGGCGAATCTATGTTCCAAAGTGGGACAACTTAAGGCGAGATCTTATCAAAGAGTACCACGACACCAAGTGGGTTGGTCATCCGGGTCAAAAGCACACTATGGCATTGCTAGAGACGTCATACTTTTGGCCCCATATGAAGGATAGCGTGGAGCTTTACGTGAAGACTTGTCTTGTGTGCCAACAAGATAAAGTAGAGAATCGACAGCCGGTGGGATTACTGGAACCTTTACCAGTTCTCCAAAGACCTTGGGATACGATCACCTTGGATTTCATTTGTGCATTACCCAAGTCCGAGGGATACGGTTCGATCATGGTCGTCGTGGACCGATTTTCTAAGTATGTGACTTTCATATCATGCCCCAAGGATTGCACTGCGGAGGAGGCCGCGCGAGCATTCTTCAAGAATATCGTGAAGCATTGGGGCTTACCAAGGAGTATCATTAGTGATCGAGACCCTCAATTCACCGGACCCCTATGGACGGAATTGTTCAAGCTCATTGAAACCGAGTTAAATTTCTCCATAAGCTTTTATCCTCAAACTGATGGGCAGACCGAACGGGTGAACGCTTTGTTGGAGTGTTATTTGCGGCACTTTGTGAGTGCTAACCAACGAGATTGGGCTAAATTGCTAGACGTCGCCCAATTCTCTTATAACTTACAGCGGAGTGAAGCCACAGGCCGGAGTCCGTTCGAGCTTGCGACCGGACAACAACCGCTCACGCCGCACACACTGACAATGCCACTTGATGAGGGTAAGAGTCTCGAGGCCGCCAAGATGGCTAAGTCATGGGAGGAGAACGCCGACATCGCCCGCGCATGTTTGGAGAAAGCACGGAAGAAGATGAAGAAATGGGCGGACAAGAAGAGGCGACATCGAGAGTTCTCCATTGGAGACTTAGTCCTTGTGAAGCTTTTACCACAACAGTTCAAAGCTCTTCGAAACGTTCACAAAGGACTAATACGTAGATACGAGGGACCGTTCCAAGTACTTGCCAATGTGGGTAAAGTGTCTTATCGCTTAGACTTGCCAAGTACACTTAAGATTCATTTGGTCTTCCATGTAATTATGCTCAAGCCATATCATACCGACAAGGAAGACCCAAGCCGAGGGTATTCGCATCGAGCACCTCCCATAGTAACCAAGTCTTATGACAAAGAGGTGGAAACGGTGCTCACAAGCAGGACGGTTCGCAAGAGAGGAGTCCCACCGCGTACCGAGTATTTAATCAAGTGGAAAGGACTACCAGAGTCCGAGGCAACATGGGAACTAGCTGAAGACTTGTGGCAGTTCGAATAACATCTCAAAGCGTATGAGGCGACGAGGACGACGCCAGAATAGGTGGGGGAGAATGTCACAAACTTGGGCTTTTTCCCCATACTTTGGGATATGTTGGGCCACATTTGGTCTTGGAGATTGATAGAATAGTGTAGATTATTCTAGAACACTCAAGACTTGTACATATTCTAGAAGCATTCTAGAGTCTTCCATGTTAGGTAGGAAATTATGGAGAATTCTATAGAATCTTTCCCTACCGTAGGATCAAGTCAATCTCCACCGTCCATTGAGGAGGTGGTATGCTATAAATAGATGTAGAATCCTCATTTGTAAATCATCCAAGAGTTGTAAGCTTTCAAGCATATCAACAAGCTTTCTCTCAAAGTTCTTTCCTTTCTTCTTTTTTTTCCTTGCTAATCCTTTCCCACATTTGCACGAGTTTGAGTGAGGCTGACTTAGCTATCGCGAGGGGCGAAAAGGAGCTAAGGCCGCACGAGGCTTATTGAGAGATTAAGTCTGTGACAGTACGCTCAGGTTTCCGGGTTTGACTTTCAGACCAGGTATGGGGCATTACACAAACCATAATAAATCTGAAGAACTAACTATGATCTAATCATACTAAATCATCAAGAACAAATTACTAGATATAAAAATGTACATAAATTAATTGATAGGTTGAAATCTTTAAGTATTTCTTTGGTTGTGATCTTCTAAGAAGATAGAGTTATCTTGAGAATGAACTCTCTGACGTGAATAAGAGAAATACAAGATAATCTATTTCTTAGAGACCATAACCCCTTTATATAATTGATTTAAAAATCAATTATTGTTTGCACTTATAACTATGCCCCTCGTCAAATTATAAATACAACTTTAATAGTATCTACACTTTTATTTCTATGATACTTATAATACCTTATAACTTTATAACATAATTGATCACTTAATTTATGTCATATTTAATGATAACAATATACATTACAAATATGTCTCCATAATTATGGATTATAATTCAACACATGTTATTCAAAGACCACCGATAACCGTAAATCAGAATCTAGTAATGTAAAAAAAACCATCAATGAACATAAATCGTGTATCCAAATCTAATCTGGAAATCCAAAAACAGGAAAGATCAACATGATAAAAATGAACGATATCTTATCAATCGTAATAATGACAACTCTAGCCCTGAGAAAAAATAATAATAAAAAATAAATGTCAAACTATAAAAAAAACATGCTAAAAAACATAAGTGTGCAAAAAGACATAGAAAAATATGTCATAAAAATAGAATTATTTAAAATTTTAAACAAAAAAACAAAGTTATGATATAATAAAATAAAATAAATATGAATACCAGCGATCAACGACAAAGTTGATACCACCGCCAATCATAATTATAAAAAAAATAACAGCAACGTAAAAAATACAAGACAGAAATTTGAAATTGATTTTCTTTTTACGGATTGATAAAATATAGCATTAACATCTAATTATACAACATAATATCACCCCTAAGACCAATTAATATAGTTTCATATCACACACATCAATCATGTTCAAAATAAATTATAAACTCTTTACTAATCACAAATTTAGATATTCAAAATAAATGCTGTAATTTTGGACGTAATTGGAATCGAATGAATGCAAAGTATTTTTATTCTCAAAAAAATATTATTTATTAATTTAGTAGTATTTATTCATGGACTTGAAATATATTTGGGGTTATATTGATTTTGGGAAGATATTTGGAGAAAACAGTAATAAAGATGAGAGGGACAAGACACCTACATTCCTAATCTACAAATAGGTTGGACCTCAAAGGCCTTTGGTCAATGGTCCACAAAATCAGCTCTGTGGAAAACGAAAGCTGGACCAGAATGAGACTGCATTTTATCACGTCTGAGAGCAATGCAAAGCCAAACCCTATGTTCCACAGGCTAGGCTTTTAGGGCATTCAAGTCTGGTCATTGTCCCTGCCCCTACAAAATTAAAACAAAAGCTCTAACCTATGGGTGGATGAATGAATGAAAGAAAGTCTAGACTCTTTATTATAATTTTTAAATAAAATATTATATAAATTATTATTATTTTTGAGATTTCGAGTTTTAACATCATTAATGTTAAGAATGCAAGCATTTAATGTTAAATTGTTAAAAATTATCTTAGAACATATATTATGTTATACTTACATTTGATTAATAAAAAAATGGAGAACGTTTCTGTTGATGAAGTACAACAAGAATATCAATGTATATAGAGTTTTTGAATCTTATATCTTTAAAAAAATTACTATCTTTTGATATGATCTTTAATAAGGGTTACATAATATGTTAAAAAAGATTGACGTCTTATCTCTTCAATGAATCTACATATCCTACTAACTTATAAATAGTAATCATGATCTTACATCTTATTAATATCAATATTAAAGATCATTATAAAATCTCTCTATTAAAATCGAGAGAAGATATTTAAGATCCTAACTTCAATCTCAACTTTTGTATAAATTACAAAAATTCCAACACCAACCAATGGTCATTCTATCACCGACTGTATCTCTCGATCTAAATCAAAAGAAGTGAATCTTTTATAACAATCGTAAACTTTATTTTCATAAGCATAAAAAATAGATTAAGTTGAAAAATTATTCATAGTACAATTTTAAAATAATTAATTAATTAATTAATAATAATAAATATGGTGTATATCAATTCAGAGAATGGTCCCTAGCCTCCTCAACTTGGAAAATTTTGGCAATCGAGATCTTGTTGAAAAGACCATTATTTTTGTCCACTTATGACTTTGATTTCTACTGGGTAAATGACACAATGAATATGGGATACACGAATCTCAGCTCTTTAAAATCGTCCACCGCCACAATCAGTTCTTCCAAGCCCAATCTCCGCCGTATATGTTCTTCCATTATGATAGAAATTAAATGACATTTAGCAAGAGGTAGTTATCGATAAGTTCAATCAAGTTAAAAAAATTTAATTTAATGAAATTGATAAGTTATATCATAAGATTTAAATTTTATTTAAAATTTTCTAATCGAATCTAATCAAAATTGGGCTTTTGTCCAAATATAAATAGTATATTAAAAATTTACCATCATCCCCATGACCAAAATACTCAAATAGCACCTTTAAGATACAAAACCATTATATTTAAAAAGCATTTTTATCTTATCGATTGGTTTTAATATTTCTTTTAAAAAATCTATTTTACAATAAAATCAGCATAAATCAACTTTTGATTTAAAGTGTCCCAATATTAAAAGGACCATTAAAGAAATATTGGGCGCTATAGGATCCGAACTACAGGTTTAGTCTCATAAAGTCATTAGAAACACACAAATACTTGAACCAAGGTTAACCGAGTTGAACACACTAAACACAATAACTTAAGCTGAATGGTACTCACACAGGATAGGTTTAGTCCAACACACAAACCACCAACAAACCAGCAATAATACCATGAAATTATGCCGATAGGCACCCTTAACAATAAAACATAACCCGCTTGACATTTTCCTTGAGGGCGGGCAGGGGTCTCACGGCAGCACTAGCAGCAGGTGCTCTCGTGCTTCGTGCACCTCCACCCATACCTCCTCGCCCTCCCGCTGTACCACTCATCATTGATCCGCTATCTGAAGTCTCTGGTTCCATGTAAAAACGAGCTCGGAATGCAGCAAGATGAGCATAATATGCAGGGGGAACTGCACATTTATCAGTCAACTACGTTGTTAATCACAAAAATGCAGAAAAGAGGGTGAGGTGAGGTGGGTTGGGTTGGGGTTGAAACTAGTTCACAGCACTGGAAGACCATTTGTACATTGAAGATAAACGAAAGAACTTACCGATGGACACAGATCTTGTGCACCTTGCATATCTGCAATACATGAAAATTAAGTAAAGATAGTAACTTGCAATACTGCCTCCCATTTTGGATGGGGCGGTATTCATCTCAAATGAAACGATAAAGGGATGCAAACGGAAAAAGTTGTTTGTAAGACTGAATTTGTTAAAGACCGAGATAAGAACTTACGTATAGCAAAGGTTGTTTGTAAGAGACTGCAAAGCATCAGCTGTGAACTTGTTCTCATCCCATAACACATGATAATGAGCTGGACGGCTTGTACCCTGTTTACCGAGATTGATAAAATATTAAAAACACAAACTACAACCAAATAATCTACCAAAAACCAATCAAAGCAGAAACAAAGAAAAAACATTCTAACATTGAATGAAGAAGCAAATAGTATATGACCTGAATCCCAGCATGGCTGCATAAGTAGAAGTCAAACTCCGTGGGGTGACAGATTTTGGAGTCCACCACTGTGCCTGCAACATACATACAACAAGAATACAATTAATCATGTTTCAAAGGTGAAATGGTTGTCAATTACGACTGAATAGTAATTACCAGGCAAAATATTCCCACTCTTGTCAACAGCATTGCGATCATGATGGTTGTTAGCAAACAATCTTGTATGATGTCGCTTTTGTACGACGACAAAGGTAACTGGAGGCTGATAATTTGGCTCCAAAGAAGCACATGCCTGAGGTTAACGAGTAAATGAGAAACTGAAAAAAGTGTGAATAAAATGCAGAGATTTGGCGCTACAAACAAGGTCAACAAAGCAGCCTCACCTTCCGAATAGCATCAAGTTCATACAACAACACTTGATAAAACTGGCCTTCACTAACACCATCCCTGTATATAGAAAATAGAAAAATACAAAATAAATCATAAGCCTAGAGGGGGAGAATAAAACAGACAGCAGCTTGACTATGCCTGTAGAATATGATGCGCTGTGGCTTATGTCCAGTTGCTCTCCGGAAAGAAATTAGGAGCTCCCTGCATTACCATGAAAACAAAGTTAGTTTTCAGACAAGCTACAATTGAAACCTATCAAAGGCAAAATGGAATTCAGACGAGAGGCAAATGGAAAAAACCATACTTAATCATGCCGCCCGAAACAGTACCCCTTACTGGATCCTGCCATGTCTTGAATAAATCTTGAATGAGCTCCTGGCGATGAGCTTGAGCACAAACCAGACCAGCATACTTCGTAATCTCTGGCCAATCTTGGGAAGCAACAACCTGAACATTTAATTAGATATTATATTAACGGATAAAATTTCAAAGAAGCCAAAATTAAAGAGGCCATGAAATGCATGCACCAAAAGCAAAAAGGTAGTAATAAAGAACATACAGCAGCAATAGAAGGGCTTGAATCCTCCCCAGGATGAGGATGGGTAACATCAGCACCAAAAATTATAGTAGGCCGGTCACTGACCAGAGGTATTCGTCGTGATATCGCATCAACAAGAACCGTATTTCTTCCCCCAACCTTAACATTAATCTTCAATGCCACATTAGCCAAATATTGTTTACTCATTTTAAATACATGTTTAGTCAAGCAGCATTGAGAAACAATTCCGAGATCTGTCTCACAAATCCTTTTCAAGTCACCTGCAAAGAAATAGAATATTTTAAATAATTGTGTGAATTTTTTTTTGAGAAAATAAATACAAATTTATACCATATAGAGAGCCATTATTATCCGGGAGAATAACAATAAGAAGGTCAAGCTCTTTGTTCTGGGGTTGGATTCTAGTCATGGCATCATGGTATCGGGTTTTCAAGACCTTCTCCACCTGCTCTGGACGAGCAGTAATTGAAGGAAGCACTGGTTCAGGAGTAAAAGCCTACAAATGACACAAATAATCAAATATCAATGTTGAATGTTAAAAAAACCTATACAAAATAAAATTGTTCAACAAAAGAACTCAGACCAAAAAGACATTGATGTTATGTTATTGCAACTCTTACCATGCCAGAGATATAACACATTTGTGCAAGTTCATAACAAAACCTTTGTGCAACACTATCTTGGACTTGCCGAGAAAAGTTTATGCAGATCCAGTTCTTTACTGTTCCACCATTAACCATTTTCTGCAACATAGTCAGACATCAAAAAATGTTCCAAGAAAATTTTCAGTTCAACATTCCAAGCAGAAAAGATTAACTTCATGCACCTGCCAGTATATCATTCATTCAAACACATGTCAATAGGCGCAGAGCAGTCATTTACATGAAGAAACAAAAAAAATCAAATATTCAAAATGATCACGACTATAGATTGTAGATAGAAGCAAAAATTTAGAAGACACAACTCAATACATGACATTCATAAAGCCATTACAAATATAAAATTTTATGATAGGCTTCTGAGTTGGGATCAATGACTCCTTAACCTAAAGTCAACCTTGATTCATCAACCTAAAATCAAATTAGTCATATGAAATGAAGTCACCAAGTTCATCCTTTACAATTAGAACTATCAATTGAGAGAATCAGGGTAATTAGGTTTAGATCATTTAAGGTTTTAAAAACAAGTTCGTGACAAGTCATTTAAATTTCAGGTCATTCCAGGTTCAAGTCATTCAATTTTGACACTCAAGTTGGATTCAAATCATTGGGGGTCAAGTCATTTTGAGATCAAGTTATTAATGTTTGTTACTCATTATCTGAGTTCGATAATAAAGATCATTTAGGTTCAATTTATTAAATTTAATCAATTTTCTGATCAAGTTAGATCATTTAGAATTTAACCAAAATATAGAAATCAAATAATAAATCATATTAAAAATAAAGACAGATATTGTACTTTTAATTTAAAAATAAATACATATTTAACTGGAATTTTCTCATTCAAACATAATCCAATATTTGACATTCCTAGTGCTTGAACCCAAGACCTCCTAGTGCTTGAACCCAAGACCTCAAGGAAAAACAATTTTTTTTTAATTCAAGACTTAAGCATCTATTTTACAGTTTTACCCAAACAAGTACTATTATTTGAATTTAATATAACTTATTATTATAATGAGGTGTACAGATCATTACAACATACACATTAATGATTATTTTCTATACTTTTAAACTAATCACTTGTTAAAATTGCAAAATAATTATAGACATCATAGATCTTAATCATTGCAGTATTTTACATATAGATCAGAAGACAAATATAAGAAAAGGGTAAATTTATACATACCAAATGTCTGTTTTATTCGGATTGGGATGAATGTTGGATGCAATTATGTGTTCAACATAGGTATTTTTTATTTTCTCTACTCATATCCCCATATCCAAGTCTGAATATGATCGAACTTGGGTGTTGTACACATTTACTCAAAAAATTAAAAGTCAAAGCAACATAACCAAACGTGCAAATAGAATATTTTATCAGTCCAAAACAGTAATTACAAGTTATAAAACTAAAACAAATGAAAATTTTAAGTTATTTTTTATTTTTATTAAAAACATAATTACAAGTTTGGTTCATTTTGAGTTCAGATCATCTTCGAGTTCAGATCATCGAGTTCGGATTGTCAACTTTATAATCAAATCAAGTTAGATAGAGTTTAGGTAAGTCGGATTGGGTTTTTCGAGCTCAGATCAGAATTGAAAGATCTATTTTCAACTAACATTTGAAGTTCAACTTAACTGCTTTACATAAATATAGAGTAAAATTATTACATAAAGTTACACATGCATATATAATGATATAAATGTTTTCTATATTAAAATCAAACATTCAGGGCATCTCTTCGGACCGAATTCACCCTTCATTTCTGGGGATGAATGTCTTCCTTTAAATATTCCTTTTTTTGTTCTACCTTAAATATTCATCTTTGAATCATCTCTAAGTCAGAGAACTCATAATTCAACCCATTTAGACAATACTTTATACTAATAATAAAGCTCCAAAGCCAGCTTGATGTATCAGGTCAAATGACACCGACACAACTCATGAACACAATTTAAAAGAAAAAGAAAGAAAACAGAAAACGTTGTCAGGCCATTAGTTCTACACTTTTCCCTTAAAGTAGGGTAGCAGATAGATCCACTTTGTTCTAAAGTTTACAATAACTATAATTTGTTTTCTTGTCACATTTATCTAGATAATCAAATTATTTATTGAATCCACACACTTGTCGATTGTGAGATTACTTTGATTAAGACCAAATACACTAAAAGAACACAAATACAGGTATACAGAAATCCCGCTCAAGTATCAACATCACACAATGCATGCTCTAGTATTACAAGAGTTTGGCAGCAATAGATACCTTATTCATCATATTCCATTGCCCAACTTGAGGAAGGCAGTTCTTCTCTCTACCCGTATCATGATATTTAAGCTACAAGCAAAAAAGAAATTCGAAATCAAGAAGAAACAAAAGATGCAGAAAATTGAACATGATTACAAGTAACTTACCCATGGTGGAGGTAGAATGCGTGCTTCAACTGAAGCAAGCTTCTCGCTAATTTTAATTCCGAATTCCTTTGCATAAGGATCCTCATGATAAGCATTCTGATGTACAGTCTATAAAAGGAAATATAATAAATTAGTCCAGCGGTAACAAACCAGCAATGGGAAATTTTTTCTTGATTAAAAACAAAAGAATGTTAGTAACACAAAAGATAGGATAAAAATATCAGACCTGCATAATGTCTCTCTCTCTTTCCTGAGGACGCTGACAGGTGACCCTCAGTAGAGCAGTGATCTGTCTCTCATTTAATCTCTTGGAGTACCTTTGACCCTCAACAATCTTGCATACCTATGTTAATCACTATAAATTAGCATGCAAATCCATAAAGCAATTACATCTTCAGTTTAAAGGACTGGAGTTTACTTTACCTCCATTGGCAAATAATTTGCTCTTTGCTGGTTTCCAACTTGTAGGCATGGCCACTGGGTGTGTTGGATGATGAAACCATATGTTTCATAAAAGTACTCCACAACAGATTTCATTGTACCTCTTTCATCAACAGGAAAACTATAAAACAATAACGTCTGTTATAGAAATTTCATAGCACATTAAGATGTATCAAGGAAATCTCACGTCACATGCATTACAATATTTGGACTGCGTCTGAAAAATCCTCAGAATTGTAAACAGTTACTTCTAATATCATTTACGACTTGTTGCTTTTTTGTTTCTCAAAAAGATATTATATCCCAGACTAATAGTAGTACTTACGTAAGCTCTCTAGTTGCCTGTGATGTTAAACCAGATATGCGATATTTTCTTCGCATGTTTCCACGGTGTGTAACTTCCACCCTGACTCCTCTAAGCGCCTTTTTGATCTATTTATTTAAAAGAAAATATAATACAGAGATTAAAATCAACATTTAAGGAATACAATTACACAAGTAAAGCCAAGGAAAAAAGCTTGTATACAAAATATATAAGGGGAAAATGTTGAGCCAAGATGGAAACACAATAGCTAAAAGAATCGAAAGAGAACACAAATATGCCTAGCAAAACTTTTCACCTGCTGAGACAAAAGCAATCATACTTGTTTCTTAAAAATATATGTCTCGAAATTAGCTGATTTTACCAATAAAAATAATAAACTGCAAGGATGGCAAACTGCTTGCCAACCATAATTTCCAAACAGGCGGAAATTAAATAAATCCTAACCTTCACACGATCAGCATCAGATAATGGTCTAGAAGAAACATCCCGATTTAGCAATTGGGTCACAAAATCAATAACCGGCAATGGCTCAATAAAAGCAGTTGAAGACATATCTGTCCACAAGACTATTGTTAGCGTAAAACAATGTACAATTAACAGACAGATCAAATGCAGGCATAACCACACATGTGAACCACCCCTAGGCATGAGAAATAGACCAAGACATGAAAAATGATAGCCTCATAAGCCAATACCAATATTCAATGAGAGCCCCATCTGTGTAGGACGAATGCTCTGGTAGAAACCACGCCAACTTTCTATTCCCTCACCCAAAGACTGCCTTCTCCCAAGGTTAGGGGAGTAAAATGAACGGCCAACAGGACAGTACCTATAATCAATTCCCACAAGTCTCTCACTGTATCATATATCGAATTTGGAAGTAGAGGCAAAGTGGTAAACATATATGGAAGAGAAAAACTAAATAGCAATACCTCGAAGTAGGTAATTCACGAAGGACAATGTCGAGAACCTGAAGAGCTTCCTGAGGTGCATCAGCTTGCTTCCCTTGCAGAAAGAGTCCAAGATGGTGCAGATCAGCCCGTGCAGCAAGTTTGATCACAACTTTAAAATCGCTCTCTTTTCTGCATTAAGAATATAATAAGAGAGATAATATATATAGAAAAATATATATAAAAAAGTCGAATCCCCATTTCATTTGAACTTTTTATTTTTATATTCTTTGTTGTGCCAAAAAAAATTACAAGGAAGATTAAATAGTAATTGCCACTTACTAGGCATTGAAAAACCTGTTTAAATCATTGAGAAAGCAGAACTTAGCATTTCAAATCCATGAATGATGCAAAACTTTCATCTAATTTTTTAATTTGTAGCACAAACAAATAAAAAGGAAAACAGAAGTTACATAACATATTGGAAACAAGAAGGCAAACAACAACCTTTGCATTCCTGACCCATCATCATCATCAAGAAGGGAGATCTTAAACTCCTTTGACACAAAAGGGAGAGCCCCAGCAGTATAAAGGCTCTTTCGGCCATCATAAGCAGGAAGGTGTTTTCCAAGATACGATTCTCTGTATAATTTTACCAGCTGCTCCATTACAGCCCGGTTCACTCCTCGTGATGCAATCTCCGGTGTAATAGTAACCTATTTTCATTGAAAATAACAATAAAAATCCTGCAGAAAAGGCTAATTAAACATTAGAGAAAAGGAACTCACATCATACTGGTGCAAATCCTTATCTGGTAGTTCAGCAAAGAAATGATTAGCCTTGACTATACACTTTGTGCCAGAGCTACCCTTTCCAGGCCGAAGAGGAAACCTCACTGATTTGCTAGAAGCAGGGACCGGCTGAATTGCTTGACCGACTTCTTCCGGGATGGGAAGCTGCTGCTGTGTTGATGGTCCATGCTCAGGTGGTCTGGACGACGAACCTGCCTCAAATGAAGCAGGCCCATGGAAAGTTTGGGTTGCTTGGTGCAGCTCGGAAACAGGTGGTCGGGATGGTCCCCCATGAGAAGGCCCTCCTACACGACCACCAGTGCCATAGCTCCCACGTCCTCCTTCCTGGGGAGGCCCACCCCTTCCCCTGCCTTGGTATTCTTGGGGTCCTTCAGCATACTGCTGTTGCGACATAACGCGACCCCGGCCACCAGAACCTCCCCTAACAGTTTGCTGAGACTGTGGACCCCTTCCACCCGAGTATCCTCTCTCTCCACCTCTTCCTTGTTGAAGAGGGCGTTGCGTGTCACGGGACTGAGAGCTCTCACCTCCGGCAGAAGTAACATCAGTTCTCTTCTTCCTAACCATGTTGGTACTACAACAGGATAAAGAAGAGAAAAAGGAAACTCGTATCAGACAAAAGTAAACACCAACAATAAAACTAAACTAAGACAATGAGTAACTTCAATTTCCTGAGAGGAAAACAAAACACAGACAAAAGTCAAAGCAAAGAAAAAAAACAAGAAGCTGCTACCATCAACAACCCTGACATACCTTAACAAACTGTAAAACATAGAAACAGAAACCCTAGAACATATAACAACAATAACATGAAAAAAATCAGCGAGATCCGTGAAAATCGACGATCTAAGCAGCTATCGAGAAAATACAAACTAGGAAAAAAAATCCGTACAAAAACAAGCGAAAAAAACAGAAGCTAAGTCAAAGCAAACAGATCCATCAACAACAGGATGAAAACAAGCTAAAAGACATGCAAATTTCACCTGAAATCTGCTCTCGGAAAATCGCTTACCGCCAAGTAAAGTTTTGTTGGTAGCAAATGTATACTATTGCTGATTATTTCTAACGGAAGATAATAAAATAAAGAGGAGAGGAAATGGGAGCAAGATTACCTACCACTCACACCACCGGCTCGGTAATCAATCAGTATCTTCTTCCTTCGGGAGCAGAGAAAGACGTACCGTACGCGCACATGGCCGCCTTACTTGTATATCTGTACTACTAAAGCTAAAAAAAAAATTAAAACATAAGGGTAAACTACAAATTTAGTATCTAAACTATCAATTTCATTCCTTTTTAGTATCTAAACTTTCAATTTTTCCAAAAATAAAACTAAGTTTACTTTTTGTTTCATTTTAGTACCCTGGCATTTAAAATTTAGGTATTAAAATGAAACAAAAAGTAAACATCAGGTATTAAAATGAAACAAAAAGTAAACTTTAGGTATGGATTTGAAAAAATTAAAAGTTTAGGTACTAAAAAGGAACAAAAGTGATACTTTAGATACTAAACATGTAGCTTACCCAAAAAATAATTATTACATATAAATTAAATGTATAAAAAATATTTCACAATTGGATAAAATAATATTTCATTTAAAATTTTAAAATATTAAAGTTTTAAAGTTTTGAATTAATTTTTTTTTACTAAATTCATTGATTAATAATCTAATATGAATAATAATAAAAATTCAGGGGAGGCTGCGGTTATCCCTTTAATGGATTCCCTTATTCATTCGACTTCATCTTTAACAAAACAGCCAAATCCGTTTATATTATTTGTTTGTTTTAGGTAAAATTACTGTACAAGTCTTTGATTATTATATAGTTATTACTTAATATATGTAATTAGTGGTGGATCTATATTGATATTAGGGTATGTACGTGTCTACTTTAAAAAAAATTGAATTTGAATCTTTTAAAAAAAATTGAAATTTTCTTAATTAATGTACATGTGTTCAACCTTAAAATTCTATGGGATCCACTTTAAAATTTAATCATATCAAAAATTATATTATTATATATGTGTTTATCTTTAAAAAATTTCTAAATATGACATCATACCTAATGTGCTTAGTTTAAATTTAAAAAAATTTAAAAAACTAAATTTTAAGATAAATTTAAAATTTAAACTCAATATATATATAAGAGAAAATAACCTCAGTGACCAAAAATGCCTTATAATATACGATTTTAACTAACTTTTTTTGGATTTGCCAAAATGACCAACTAAATCGCAATACGATCGATAATTCGCAACGCGATCTCCGGTATCACAAATCAGTTTCCATATTCGCAACACGATTCTGACTATCGCATTGCGATTTTCCAAATTCGTGTTGCGATTTTCCTAATTCGCAATGCGAATACGTAAATCGCAACGCGAATTTGGAAAATCGTAATGCGATTACGTAAATCGCAATGCGATTACGTAAATCGCAATGCGAATACGTAAATCGCAATGCGAATACGTAAATCGCAATGCGAATATGTAAATTGCAATGCGAATCTGACTATCGCAACGAGATTCTGACTATCGCAATACTGAATTTCAAATTCGCAACTCGATTTCTGAATTCGCAACAGGTTTTAGTTTCACAACACAAATATTTTGGGTATATAACTACGCAACAGCAGCAACTCATAACCTAAATCCATAAATCGCAACTCATTTCATCTCCATCTATCACTCTCTCTGGCGATATCCGTTCCTATATCCAACGACATCCTTCCCCATCCGACAACAGGTTTTAGTTTCGCAGCTCGTTTGTTTAGTAAATTAATTTACAATAATGAAATCATCTAATGTTGATCATGTTTGGATAGATTTGTGTTTTGGAGGATTATGGAAGAATGTTCATGGTGTTTTACAATATATGCCTTTACCCATGAATCTTCAACTAAAATTGTCATTAAAAAAGTTAACTTATGAAACTCTAATGTTACGTGTTGCAAATAAATTGAATTTAGAACCCCTATGTGGATTTAGGCTATCTTATCAGAGAAATGGTAAAGTTTATTTGTTAACCGACAATGAAGATGTTGAACGATTCATTGCTTACATTAGTGTTTCAAGTGATGATGTTACATTGTATGTTGTTGAACCTAGAAGTAGTGAAGTTGGGTCAGTAGCGGGTAGTAATCAACTAAGTTTTTCAACCCCAGTTTATGGTGCTCAAAATTTAATGGTTCTACCACAATTTCATCACCAAACAAATATTGTTTCACCACATTTCCAATACCAAACAGAATCTCAAAACCCACAACCTTTCCCTAATCCAAATCCCAATCAACTTTCAGCACCAAATTTCGGTTTTCGTATTGACCAGTTAGACGATGATGAGCAAATAGAAAAAATTGTGAGTACTAGTCAGTATTCGAAATTTGATCTTGGTCAATACCCGGACTTTGATCTTGGTCAATACTCGGATTTTGATGATTTTTCAGAAGAATAAATAGACCCTGCGTGTAATGATTTTGATATTGGTCAATACCCGAATTTTGATGATGAAACAGTCGTTGCCGAGGAAGATGTTGTTGATGATAATGAGGAGGAAGTTACGACTGTAAATGAACATGTAACATCCATTCTGTAATTATATTTAAGAAGAAGAAGAAGAAGAAATCCCCAAAGAAAAGTCCCCGAAGAAAATGCCACGGGAGATACTGGAATATACCAGAATTACTTCAGATACCGGAAGAAGAGTTGGTAAAGATAGCAGTTGATTGTTACACAAAAATTATTCGTATCAAGAAAGATGATTGTTTTGATACAAATGAAGACTTGAAGATAGCTTTGTATACGAAATGTATGGAAGATGGCTATCAACTAAAAGTTAACAAATCAAGCAAAGATCGTTTCGAAACAATGTGTATGATTGACAAAAACTGTACGTGGCGTATGATTGCAAAGAGGATAAAATATTGCGAAATGTTTCAAGTTAGGACTTTTATTGATAAACATACATGTTCAAGAACCCAAGTTTTTCCTCACCATAGACAGGCAAACAAAAAGGTGTTGGGTGGTTTTCTGGCTGAGTTAATGTTTTTGAATGGCAGGGTATATCAGGGACATGAAATTATGTCTGACATGAATGCTCGGTTCAAGATTAGTATCTCATATTCTCAAGCTTAGAGAGCCAAATGTTATGCATTGGAATTGTTGAGGGGATCGCCAGAAGCATCGTTTGCCCAACTGTCGGCTTATTGTCACAATTTAAAGCTGAAAAATCCTGGGTCGATAACTCATATCAAAACAGATAGAGATGGACGCTTTGAGTTGCTGTTTATCGCCATTTGTGATGCGGTTAGTAAATCAATATAATTGTGTTGACTCATTTTTGTTAGTTACATGTATTTCACATTTAAATGCTTATATTTCTTGTGTATATGATTTTGTAGATTCGTTCGTTTATTAATTGCGTGCGCCCAGTTATTATAGTTGACGGAGCACATTTAAAAGGTCGATACCTTAGAGTAAACTTATTAGCAGTAGCCATGGATGCTAACAATGGGATGCTGCCAATAGCTTACGGGGTTGGCAAATCTGAAACCTCTTATTCATGGACATGGTTTATGGGGCATCTTAGGGATTGCATAGGTCCTATTAGCAATCTGACAATCATATCCGATAGGGCAAACTCAATTGACAACGCTGTTAGAAGGTGTTTTCCAGATGCTTTTCATGGACTTTGTGGTGTTCATTTGTATAGAAATCTAAAATCAAGGTCTACTGGTATAAAAAATCACAAATGGACATACTGAAAGGCTGTAAAAGCTTATCGGGAAGTGGATTTTAATAAGCATATAAACTGTTTAAGACGTGTTTTGCCTCAGTGTGCTCAAATACTAGAAGATGTCGGGTTTGAAATATGGTCAAGAGTACATCAAATTGGAGCAAGATATGGTTTCATGACGTCTAATAGTGCAGAATCAATCAATGCTCTAAGTCGTCATTCCCGGAAATTACCCATTACTATGTTAATGGAGTTTTTTCGAGCCTCTATTCAACAGTGGTACTACAAGAAAAGAAACCATGCATGTATTATTTCTTTAAATTCGTAACTTATCATATATTTTACTAAGTATTATTTATTTAAATTTACAGGAACATTGGAACATTGTGTTACACCATGGACTGAAAAAAAGATAACGAAACGTGTTGTGAAGTCAACGTCATAGAGAGTTGAACCATGTTCAAACATTTTGTTTGAAGTACTGGATAATAACTTAAATGGGCTTGTCGATCTAAATGCAAAGACGTATAGTTGTATGAAATGGAAAACATCTGGTTATCCGTGTGGCCATGTTATATAAGTTTCTCTTCATCTAAACCAAGATGATTCAAGCGCATAAGCTATGGATTGCTACACTACAGAAGTATATCGACAGACTTATGTCGAGATTGTCTACCCTATTCCACATCCTTCTGAGTGGGACATACCAGATGACTTACAAACAGTTTTGCCACCAGCCATGGACAGAAGGCTACCTGGCCGACCAAAAAGTCACGATCGTATACCGTCTAAGGGTAAAGAAAAGAATAGATCGACATGTAGTCGGTGCAAGGAAAGTG